GAGGAGCGGGACGGTGCTGCTCCTCGTGTCCGGTCAGCACGGTGTCCGGTGGACGTGTCCACAGAGGAGCAGCCTGCACGGAGAGTCCTCCTGTTGGGGCGCAAGGAGGCCCTCTGCAAACTGGGTTTCTCTGATACGTTTGAGGGATAAATGCAGGGTCAGTGTGTGGAATACAGTCCGCGTTGGCTCTCAGCCTTCAATAGCAATTACTGGTCATCAGGGTAATTAAAGGGACGTTATTGCCTGTGGCATGACAGGAGCAGACTGTGACAACTCATTTGACAAGAGCTTCCTCAGAGTCCTCGGTTGTCCTGGGCTCTTGCAGCGTTCAACAAAACAGCGTGTCCCTTTCTGCGGGGCTGCCCGCTGCAGATCTGGCTCAGTGGCTCGGAGCCCTTGGTACTCAGTGTGATGGATATAACTTAAGTTTTCAAAAAGTGTGGGGCTGCTTCACAGGCTGTTTATGTTCTTAACCGGTCGTGGGATGAAAGAGAAAGTATTACTGTGAATCAGAAGACAGTAAAGGAAAAAAGCAAAGGGAAAAGAGTCAATTTGCATCCTGGCAAGGCGCTGCCAGGAGTTCACAGAGAGCCTGTGCCAGTGTCACTGGTTGTTCTTAGTCTTGAAGACGGCAGCAAAAGGGTCAAATTTACAGGTGACTCGAAGTTTTGTTCTCAGGCAAGTCAAGAGTAGATGGTGGGAAAGCATCAGCTGAGAGGTTAACAGTGCCATAGGGAAATAAATGTATTTAGGTGTGAGGTGACACGCACCGGAGAGAAGGTGCTGTGGAGCTCCTGCCTCTTGAAAGGCTTCCAAGCCTTAATACTTGCCTAGGGACAAAGACCTCATGTGCCCGAGATGTCGCGGTGAACACACTGTTTGGAGGAGTTTCAAACCAACAGGAGGATGGGTGGAAATGCAGCCAAGGCTCCTGCGAAGCGAGGTGAGCGGAGTCCGCAGCCCAAAGCTGCTGACCTAAATGGAAGGTTGGGAATTACTAGGAAGGGGAAAACAAGAGAAGGCATTAATGTCCTGGTGAGTCTGCACAGGAAAAACAAAAGAAGGTGTTAATGTCCTTGTGAGTCTGCACCGTGCACATTGCGGAAACGGGTGCTGCTTTGGTCGCATGGACTTAACAGGCAGTATGTGAAAAACTGCAGAGAAAACCAAAAGAGACACTTGAAATTATGGAAGATCTTCAACAAGAGGGGGAACCAAACAGGCTGGAGCTGCTGAGAGGTGCTGGGAAGGGCACGGGGTCCGCGGGAAGGCCCCCGATGGGGGGCAGTGGAGGCGAGGAGCAGGTTCGTGTGGCTGCGGGCGGCAGGCACTGAGCGGAGCCCGCGGGGCACGGGAGGCAGCAGGGCAGGAGGGCTCCGTGCAGGTCCACCATGCTGCTGCGGAGCCGACACCAGCACCGGTACTGGCACCGCCCCGACACCGACACCACCCCGGCACCGGTACCTGCAGCGGCAGCAGAGGGCTGAGCAGCAGAACGGGCAGCAGTCGTGGGCCCTGAGCGGCCGCCTGCAGCCCAGGATGGCGCAGGGAGCCCCGCGGCTGCCAGGACGGCAGGAGTGCAGGAGATGGAGCCGGGAGCACAGGGATGCAGACCTTGGAGCTCAGAGTGCCGGGATGCAGAACTTGGAGCTCGGAGCTCAGAGCTTGGAGCTCGTAGCGCGGGGATGCGGAGCTTGGAGCTCAGAGCCTGGAGCTCGGAGCGCGGGGATGCAGAGCTCAGGGTTTGGAGCTCGGAGCATAGGGATTCGGCGCACAGAGCGCTGCGCGCGGCGCCGAGCGCCTGTCCGCGTGGTGCCCGGTGCCACGCGGTGCCACGGCCAGCGGGCCTGGCAGGCGGCTCTTGGGACCTCCCCGCTTGGTCTTCCTGAGCCAGAGGCAGCGTCTTTGCATTGAACAGCCTTTGATGGATCTTTATTCCGTTAATTTGCCCGGTGACATGTAGCTCGAGTGCTTTCACTCTCTCCTGCAATGGAGAGAAGGAGCTGGGACTGGCATTGAGGGAGATGCTGAGAGACAGTGACGCTAAATAGTGCAGTGTTTGTGTCTCTTCCCCTCCTCTGTCAAAATACGTTGAAGTTCCATAAACACCCAAACTTGTCACTCGTTCCAAGGCTGCTTTGAAAGCAGAGCCTCCCCAGGCAAAGGCAGCCCCAGGTGAATCACAGCTGAAAGCAGAGAGCTGCAAGAGCTGCAGCCTCCCCTTGCGTTCCCGAGGCCACGCTGGGCACCTCGAACCCGGGGCCGCTCCGGCCCCGCTCCCGCTACAGCCTGGAGGTGGACGGCGTGGCGAGCGACGCCGTGACACTGGCCAGCTCTCCACACAGGGCATCGTGGGCGGCCGCCACATCCCGTGGGCAGAGATCCCATCCTATGGGCAGAGGTCCCATCCCATGGACAGACGCTCCATCCCGCGGGTGGACACCCCATCCCAAGAGTAGAAGCCCCATCCTGCAGGCAGATGCCCCATGCCATCGGTAGAAGCCCATCCCATGGGTGGACACCCCATCCCACCTTCCCACGGGAGTTCCTGTGCTCCGGCTCCCGGGCACGGCGCCGTGGCCGTTGCAGGGGTTGGTACCCAGGCGGGTGCCTACTGGAGAGGGTAGTTCGGGAATTTGGAGCGGGTGTAGCTGGAAGTGCTAGGATGGCATCGATAAACAGCATGAGCAGAATGGATGATTTTTTCCATTCTTGAGCAAATTAAACATTTGGGCTAGCAGATACCTGCGGAGTAGAGGGGAGGAAATTCCCACGGTGCTGTAAGATCGGCACAGCGCTGGGTTAAAATGATTGAGGAGAGCGCGAATTCCGTCGTCTCTCACTTCACTGGAGGTCTCGAATGTGGGAGAAAATCAACACAATGACAGTGTTTGAGGAACAACCTGGGCGTGCGTGAGGAAGTTGCCTGTGAGTGACGTGAGCTCTTCGGGAAAGCCTCCAAAATAGCTGCAGGTTCGAGTGGCCGGCCCGCGAAACGGAGCAGGGAGCCGCGTTCACGCCGTGAAACAGCAGCTTTGGGAGGGATCAAGCACTGACTTCTTGTTTCCTTCCTAAAAAGGTAAAAAGAAACTGATGCCTCTATATAAGGATGAAAGTGCGAGCTTGAAGAGAGCTTAGGCTGCGCTTTGAGTGCAAGCGTCTTCAGCAGCGGCCTCGGCCTCCTGCGCAAGGAGCCCTGGAGCGCTGGAGCCTCCGCAGGTCGCAGGAACAGGAGCGGGGGTTGCTTGTTGGTGCGGGACCGGCTGTGCCCGTCGCTTGGAAAGGCCCCGGAGCGGCCAGAGCCCCCGCGGGTCGCAGGAGCAGGAACAGGGGCTGCTCCGCACTGTGCCCGTCGCTTGGACAGGCTCCGGAGCGACCGGAGCCCCCGCGGGTCGCAGGAGCAGGAGCAGGGGC